AGCTAGATTATATAAAGTGCAATTTGTGTTTAATGCTGACTAATGTTAGCTAGTGAGTGTTAGCTTTAGCTAATGTTTTGTTTATGTTAGCTACTTAGCTTTTAGGAGACAATTGATTTAATAAAGGATCTCCAGAAGAATACTCTTTACAGCCTCAAAATATTTTGTTTTGGAAAATTGTGGCATGTTTCCTTTGATTGTGACTTTAGATTTAACTGCTGGACTTCAAAGCCACATCAGAGCAGATGGAAAATATGATGGATTAAAGGGTAGGATCGAGGCATTCAAAACTCACACAACTTTGTAGGTTATGCCTTGTCTTGGAAATACTCATGAAAGATTTCAGAGTGAAACCAGTAGGCTAATTATCCCTCAGCCCCCTGTTTCTGTGTAGTAGAGTAGCTTTGGAAGATTGGTATGCATAAGGATCTGTCTAGCTTTAGTTACTTGAGAATAGATTGTTAACTGGTCATGTAGCTAAGTTCTTTCCACAACCATGTAACTAGTTTTGAGACTTCAAACCAAAAAACAATGGAATACATCACCTAAACTAATATTTTCTTCCCCAAGATATAGGCTGTGGGTTTGGCTAAAAGAATCGATTTCTTGTATATGCTGGTACCTCAATGCAAAGATTTCTGTATTGTCTATCGGCTCATGGGACTGTTCAGCAGTCCCAAGGAGTATCAGGATTGTCAGTTCATGATACTGCCGCACACTCAGCAACGTGAAAGGTCCTTCTTAACTTGGTAATAGAGGTTCTTGATTGAAGTCTTTACAAAGCTCTTTCTGGAGACACCTAGTAAGTCCAGGAATTAAAACATGGCTATGGAGATGTAAAATACATTGATCACTTGAGTAGACCCAGAAGTACTCCCTTCATTCCTCTTCCTGTGGCCCAGTGGTCCATATTTATAAACTCAGTGCTTCAGAGTAATTCTGATGGGAAAGTTTTAGTTTATTATATTATTTAAAGCTACTAACTCTTTGCTTTATAAAATGTTCTTGTACTTCACAATTTAGTTTCTTTCCTCTAATGTACATATATCTTGTCTTCTAAGGCTCAAATCTGGTGATTCTTTATCTAGAAATTAGCCTAGTTACGGAGCCTGATAGACAGATGATAGTGAAACTAGACACTCATTTGACTGCTTCAGGACCAGTTCATTAACTAATGAATGTGACACCCACTGGGCATGGTGGTATATGCCTGTAATCCCAGCACTTGGGAGACTGAGACAAGGGGATTGCTATGAGTTCAAGGACAGCCTAGGCTGTATTGCAAGGAGCAAGCCAGACAGGCTAGTAAGACCGTGTGGCTAGATGACTTGTTAGAGCTGCTCTGGAACTGTAAGATGGGGTGAAGTGGAGACAGGTGACTTTTCAGTGACATTCTTTCATTTCATGTATAATGTGAGCTGTCACTGCTGGTCACACACAGTGTGGTGTAAAAACATAGAGGTCAGAATTCCTTTTCAGTCTCTTACTACTTTTAACATCTGTGATTTCCTTGTTTATAAACTTCCCATGTTAGTCCATCTCTGAAAAACAAAACAGCTCATTTTTACAACGCAGTGCTTTGATCCTGCGGGTTGCTAGAAGTAGAGACCCCTCACAGTGTCGACATTGGGGTAAATCAACAATCATGGCTTCTATATGTAAGTTTCTTTTTTTTTTTCTTTTTTTTTTTTTAAAAATTTTTTTTTTTTTTTTTTTTGGGTTTTTATCTTTTTTTTTTTTTGTTTTTCGAGACAGGGTTTCTCTGTGTAGCCCAGGCTGTCCTGGAACTCACTCTGTAGACCAGGCTGGCCTCGAACTCAGAAATCCTCCTGCCTCTGCCTCCCAAGTGCTGGGATTAAAGGCGTGCGCCACCACTGCCCGGCTGTAAGTTTCTTAAAAAGAAAAATTTCCCTGTATTCTAAGAGAAAGAGGTTATTTCTGACTGCCTCAGATAAATAGGAAGGGGAGTTTTATTTTTAACCTTCATCCTGACAGCATTTTAAAAACATTAATTTGTGTATCTGTGCGGGCACACTTTTTGCATGTATCAATCAATATTTGGTAATAATGACTATTCAAAACAAAACAAACATTGTCCCTACTTGTTTTCACCCTACCTTATTGTAATGAAAAAATGGTATGTAAAGCCGGCTCTTCTCTTCATCCCAGCCTGCTCTTTGTCTGCTTCCCAGCTCACCTCTTACTACTCCTTAACTGTGTGTGTTAAAGAACACCAGTGTTCCGTAGAGCACCATGGTCTCCCAGCTAAGGTGAAATGGCCCTGGTGGTGTGGCTGCCAGTAAGCAGCTCGGCTTTGCTGTCAGCGTACAAAGGACTCCACATTCATTATGTACCCGTTCCTGAAGGCAGAGTGTGAGAAATGGCTTTGGCTGTTGACTGATTGTGGTCCTTGGGCACCAGATAGTGGATGCTGGAATGTATTGCAGAAAGGCTGATTAAAGCCCTGGATCTCTAACAGGAAGAGTAGAGTCATCTGTAATGTGTACTTACATATTTTTTGAAAGTATTGCCTTATTATCAGCCTATGTAGAAAGAAATACTATTTTTGAAAAAAAAATGTGCGTTTTGGTGAAAATAGCATGCTGTGCATGCTTAGGACCTTTGTACACTAGACTGATTGGAACTTGGAGGAGCCTGAGTCCTTTGCAGTTTTCTAACTTAGCTTATTGGAATTATATTTCACCATGAATGGCAGGAGTAGGTACTCAGAGTTCACAGTGTATGTGCACATAATACAGAGTGTCAGCTGTTAGAGCCTGGTATCTCGTCCCCATCCCCTGGTTGCCTTGCCGCCCAAGAAAAGTTTACCGGAGTGAAGGATAGAATGGGAATATTTATGTAGTCAGTAAACTGGAGGATACTGAAATACAGTGATTTTGTACCCCTCCTGTTAAAACATCCAACATTTTCTCAGCGTGTTCACTTAGTCCTTTCATGTAGTCTGCCTCATTATCCTGCAGGTGACATTAGGTTGTCCAGAAAGAGCCAGCACTTCCTGTCTTCCCTCAGGCCTTTGCTTTTCTCTCACATTCCTTATCTGAAAGCTTCTTGTTTCTTCTTTAAAACTTCTTTAAAAGCTGCTTTAGTTTCTCTCTCCCAGAAAGGCTTCCTTTGCCCACAGTTAGCCTGTTAGTAATCCCATTTAGACTAGCCAATAAGCCCGTAATAGTATTTCATAGGATTTTCCCCACAATCCACTGTAATCATTTGCTTACTTCTCTTTTTCTGCTTTAATAGGATAATCTTCCTTCAAGTTAGAGATGGCAGTGATGTCTTTGAACGTGGTGCACATATACATACATATATGTGTATTCCATAATTTGCATTATTTAGATTGTAATTATTTGTTCTTTTTAAGTTTTAAATTGACTTTATAACATTACATTCCCATTATGTTTAACTTCCATACTGCTGTTAAAAAATGTTTAATAAAGGTAAGTTTTTAACTCTTAATTCTTTTTGGCCTGAAGATACAATTTTACTTTTGTGCAGTTAATTATTAAACAATTTGAACTACAGTTTATAGGAAATTGAAAAGACTAATTCTGAGATTCTGAAATTGTTCAGTCTACTCTATGGAATTGGGGGTGCATAGAACTCACTTTATTGGTATAATATTCCCTTAAAGCTTCTCCATTTGGAAACATGTGGTTATAGCTTTTAGATTTTAGCTTAGTTTCAGCCCAGGAGATGAGCAATATAGTATTCATTAATACTAGATTATAGGACTTAAGCGGCTGCTTGGTGGTCCTTGGTCTCTTTGTAGTATTTGCGTTGAAATAGCTCAATTTTATATATCAAAATACAAAGAAAATGTAAAGAAATGTCTAACTGCAAATTTTAAAGTACTTTAAAATAATTTACAGTTATGCTATAACTTTTTATTTAATCTAAAGTCTTTTTTTCTACTGTATACCTACTAATTTTCACAGAAGAGCACACTAAGACAATTTGTAGAATCATTTCTTTAATGATACTGCCAGGAGAGTCACTGCATTAAAGCCGAATCACAGTCCTGGCTGTTCTTATTTATTGAAGGAACAAACATGGTGTTGTTAGTATTACGGTTCTTCGTCCTTCATTTGAGCTAGCAAAAGAAACTCTAAGTGCTCTAAGAAATCTGCTATGGGAGACTTGTAAGTTCTGCTTTCACTGATAGGTTTTGAAAAATCCATTGTGAAAAAAAGAAGAGAGCAAAATTACCTATGCCATAACAATTAGTTATCTGCTTATTTCCAGAGACCCTACTTAATAAGATTTATTGTTGGTAAAATGTAGTATACCAGGCGTAAAGGTTAACGCAGGTTAGGTTATTGTTGCTGGTTAAGAATGTGCTCTCTGTTTTGGTTTTGGAGCACTGCCTCCAAGAGGCGCCTAGCATTTGGTACGTAGTTCACGTAGTTCTGGTCTACAGACCTTCCCTATCAAGGAAAAACAGGATCCGTGCTTCTGATATTTACCGGTTTTTTTTCCATGCTATAAAGCTCAGTGATGGCAATTAATTAAAAAAAAAAACTTTCCATGACATTACAAATAAAACAGGTTTTTTTTTTTTGAAGGCTAGTAATTTGTACCGTTAAAGAGCCAGGTTATTTTGCTTTTGTCTCAGAATGTATTATGCTTCACAAGTATACTGTGACAGCCTGAATACAAATCGGGGGGAAGGGACATTGTCTTGAGCTGGCGTGCTGTTATCAGAGGGAATGTGTTCCTGGACTGGAGGTTTAGCATTCATTGGTTGTCTGAAGAAAGCTATTTCATCTGAGGATTGGACAAGAAGCTGCGTCAATTTGCTGCCCGTCTCCAAGGCACTGGTGATGCTGCCTTCACAAGCTAGCTAACGTCACGGCTCCATCACCCAGCGGGGTGTGGACTCTCTTTTCTGTTCTTCTCTATTTAATTCTCTATTTGCTGCCTACTGCATTTCTTAATCTGTCTTCTGCCAAATGCTAACAGCATGATATTTTGCAATCATCTAGGTGAATACAAAAAAGACGAACTCCTAGAAGCTGCTAGGTAAGTGATTCCATTCATTTTAAGTAAGTATAATACATTTTAAGGGAGAAACGGGTGTGGGGGGGGGCAGGTAGAGGAGTGTAACGATTTATACTGTGTTCTTTTCTTGCTTGGGTTTTAAGGGATAGTGTGGATAAGATCTATTAAGTCTTTGTGTACTTTATTTTACATTGTTAGTGGACACAATGACAGAATCCTTTACTATACTGGGCATTGTAAGGCTAATTTTATTTGTAACATATCTTGAGATACTACCTGCAAACCTTTCAGAAGATATTCTTATTCTTGGAGTGTTTATATGTCTATATCTACATTTCGCTTTGAAGGTTTTCTTTTTCTAGCCAAGCTTGAAGGAGAGACATAAAGTAAACGTTAAAATTCTCAGCTGTTTTGTTGTCAGTGGCAGTAGTGGTCATTTATAATTTAATTAATTACCTCTGTATAGAATTTGTATTTTTAAACTCTGAAATTTTAGATTATTTTTTCCAAGTAAAGTTTGTTTGTAATTAAAATGACTAGGTAGATAAATTTTTAAATGTAGAAAGCTACATTACTCATGATAACATACCATCGCTGAATTAGCAGGAATTATGTTAACTGAAATAAATATTACAGACATGCATTGTGATCCATATTTAAAAGTTAAAGCAAAATCCTTTTGTTTTCCACTATAAAATAACTATAAATATTCATAAGAAGCTCTATAATTTTACAGAAATTAACTCACTACCTTTTTATAGGAGTGGTAATGAAGAAAAGCTAATGGCTTTACTGACTCCTCTAAATGTGAATTGCCATGCAAGTGATGGGCGAAAGGTACGTTATCTAAAATGTCACCTCTTCCAGTAATTTCTTCTTGCTTTACCATGAAATTAGGTTCAGTCTGGTGTGTGTACATGTTTACACTTAGATATTTGTAGCTGTTTTCCCTGGCATCTTTTCACTGGAGAATGAAATGCTCTCTCTCCCTGGTGGTTGTGGCAGATCCATGGAGCTCGGGGAGCATGGGTTCCTCCAACTGTCAGACACTGCAAGTTGTTTGTTACAGGAACTGCATACGCTGTTTTCAGTGTAGAAAATCAACAGCGTGCTTTCTGTGTGCCACAATGGAAATATGTGTCTTTGTTAGGACATACACTTTCTTAATTTATTTAGTAGATTTATCTGCTAGATATCAGCACTTTGTCTATTAAAGGAGAGAAACTATTAATGATTTTTTTTTAGATCTCTGTAACAGTTCTGCTTTTTTTTTTAAACTTAATTGTGACATATTTAAGAAAATAAAAGAGAAATACTCTGCATAAAGATACACTGTCATAACTGTAAGGTAATGTATAAAAATGTGCAGCTAGCAGCCTCACTGTCTGCTCTGTATTCATCCTGAATGTAGACTGAAATGTAATGTGTTTTAGACTGTGGTAATTGACTGCAAAGTTTTGCAGTGACTTACCTAGTAGACTGAAAGACTCCCAGAACATCCTCTACTGTGCTAAGCTAGCAAATTCACTGAGTGCTCTTCCTCATGCTGGGGAAGTGATTTTAAAGGGTAGCTGCTCATTTTTCCTGGAGTTTTGGGGTTGCCGAGGGGACTTTAGCCCCTGTGAGTACTTTGAGCACATGTTTTATTTGGATCATCTCAATAAGCAGAGGTACTTCTCTCACTGTGTGGTCAAAGGCCGTCTCATCTGTAGTAAGTGCAGCTGTCACTGTGCAAGTATCTGGAGCACAGCTTCCTCAAGTTCTCTGGGAAGATGATGGGCAATCACTGTAGCAGGAGATGAAATACCATCCTTGCTTCATCCACAGTCCTCAGCCCTGATGCTGGACAGCCCCATTCTTCTTTCCTAAGGAGATATTCTCACTTCCTTATAGCTGGAACCAGTGACCTTACCCAATTCCATGCCTCTTTCTGCATCAACCCCGTGGCTTTGTCATAGATTTCCTTACACTGCATTTCTGCTTACATGTCTGTCTTCTACTGTTCTATTAGGTTTTTGTATTTTGCACAGGATGGAGCATCTAGCAGCTTAGTCTGGTTCACTGACAAACATGATTTTATTCCCCGAGTGAAAAAAACCATCTCTACTAGTCTCTTACTATTTAGAAAATGGGATCCATAGTATATGAATGAGAGATTGTATCTTTTTTGTTATTCTAACTTTGTATTCTGAGTTCATTTCTGGATAGTTGTAATGGAGGAAGCACTGTATTATTTTCATGTGGAAGACCTCTGTGGTAACATACCTGAGAAACCACACTGAAGGATTTCTGTTGAAATAATATAGTGATATTCTAAGTATACACTTACACAGTTACACATTATCAGGTTTTTTTTTTCCAAATTAAATCAAGTAACAAAAAAAAATTAAAAAGGCATTTATTGGGGTTTATTGCAATGCATAAGGAATCATTCACAGTTGTCATCTGCATGCAAAACACAAAATTTCATGCGTTAATGTTGGTAATATTTACTACACGGAGTGATTCTTTTTAACATGCACCAGTTGTGTAAAGCCACAAGCGGTATTCTTGGTGCTAGTGGAAATTGGTGTTCAACCCTCTGGGTATGACAGTGTTGTTTGCTTTCTTGGTGTAGGTATCAAGAAAACATGTGAGCTAGTCCAAACTGATAAATTACAAATTTCTCAAATATTCGATACATATTTTTTAGGCCTTTCTCATGTGTTTACTAGAATTAGGGAAACTGCTTTTACATTATTAAAGAATATACATATGTTTGTATGTGCAGTAAGTTAGTGAATTATTTATTTAACATTTTACTTCTTGGCTTTTATATTAAAACAGATCATACAATCAAATCCTGTTTTTAGAATCTCTTCAAAAAAAATTGCTAATGCTGAACTGATTTTTGTCCTTAGTTTTACTACAGTTCTTAGTTTGTAAATTTCAAAGACCCGTGGAAATGTAAATTCATGGATAGTTTTAGAAAGAAATGTCTCTTATACGATGACTAGTGGGTGGGAAATTGCTTAGAGATGTGTAGGGGTGAGATGATTCTTACTGTTGTATGTGGGGTTAGATACTAGCGTAAGTTTTCATTGGTTTGTATTTACTACTGTGACTTGATGGTCTAGTTAGGTAATGTGTAAAAGGCTAATGTTTGATTTCCCACAGATGTTTGTCTAGTCTTTAGAGTCCTGAAGATCGTGATGCATCAATAAGACCCTGCCTGCTCTGTCTTGCTCTGTTTTGCTTTCATTTTCATCAAAAGGCAAAAATCACCACAAATTTAGTTTAAAGTTATACAATGGTATATACTTGTATTCCCAGCAACTTGAGGAGGCTGAGGCAGGAGGATCAAAAATTTGAGGGCCAGCCTGGTCTATGTAATGAAATCCTATCCTAAAAAGAAAGAAAGAAAATGTTAAATATGTTAAATGCTGAGCTGAGCTGAGCAAGGAAGATTGCTTTTGTAGACGGAAAGAACAAAGGGAAGTAGTGACTGAACAGCAGGCCAGCCAGCGACTGCAAAGACAGAAGGGTCTCACTGCAAAGATCCTCCTGCCTCTGCCTGTCTAACGATGGGAGTTAAGGTGTGTGCTACCAAGCCTCCACCTCCCTCTCTTTGAGACAATGAGCTTCCTTGCCAGGCTGTGTTCAGCTGCCCTTTCATATACATTCTACCTGTCCGAGTTCTGCAGAAGCCAGAATGCAACTTCATTTCCTTAGAGAAAGAGGACAACTTTTAAAATAATATTTTATTCTAAAGTGCTACCTTCAATCAATTATTATACATGGTCTTAATAATAACTATACACACACACACACACACACACATATATATATATATATATATATATATATATATATATATATATAAAATTCTCTGTGTATTTTGATGACATTCAATTACACAGCTTCTGATTGTAGTGAAGCTCAGGCAGAATTTTTCCTCTCTGGATACCTTATTCCCAAGCTTTTAAACTTAATTTTTGGCCATTAATTACTCTTTATATTATTTACTGTCAATATCAGATGTGTTCATAATTAGCTAAATGTCCTGTCTTCTCTTTGGTATCTGGATATAAGGTGATAATATTCTCTTAGGCTTTTTTGTTCTTCTAGGAGTCCCCTAAGTACGCCTTTCTATAATAGATGAATTATTTATATATTTGCATGTCCCCCTCTTTGTTTTCTCTTATTTTCCTTGTTTTTTGGGCTTTTGTTGTTGGTGGTGGTGGGTTTTTGTTGTTGTTGTTGTTGTTTGTTTTGTTTTTGTTTTGTTTGTTTTGTCTTGTTTGATTGTTTGTTCTGTTTTTTGGGGGGTTTTTTGGGTGTTTTGTTTTGTTTTGTGATAGAATCTCACTGTGTAGCTCTTACTTTCCTGAAACTCACTATGTAGATGGGGCTGACCTTGAACTCACAGAGATCTACCTGCCTCTGCTTTCCAAGTGGTTGTGTACTACCAGTCTGGGCCTTTGTTTTTGTTTTTGTGTTTACTAGCATTCAATCCTCTTGGGAGTTCTTTTTGGTTTTAGTCTGTATTGTTTACTTTGAAACAAATCCTTTCAAAACAAATTTTCTGCATTATTTCTGTCTTTACATAAGAAAAGTGAGTAGGATTAAGGTAATGTTTCTGAGACAGAATAATGTGTCTTTCTGCACCCACTCCTGTTGCTGCTTTGATGTTGCTTGCAGAAAACAGTTAGTATTTGATGTATTAAAAGTACTTTAATATTGGGGACTGGAGAGGTGGCTGAGCAGCTAAGAGCACTGCACTGTTTGCTCTTTCAGAGGCCCTGGGTTCAGTTCCCAGCATCCATATGGTGGCTTACGACCATCTGTAACTGTAGCCCCATGGCATCTGATGCCCTCTTCTGGTCTGCAAATGTACATGCAGACAAAACAGTCTTTTAAAAAATAGTTTAATATAATTCCTGGGATTTCACTTTTCTTGCTTCTTCTATGTATTCACGCAACAGAAACTTAGTACCTGCCGTGTGCATTGCAGTTCTGAATAGCAAGGGATAGAGATCAATGTCAGGATAGGACGATTGAGATATTATCGTGGATGCTGAAATTGACACACTAAAAAGTTTTAGTGCTCCATTTGGTGTGGTAGTTATGAAGCATAGAGTGAGGGAGAGCGTTTTCTGGACTTTTTATGACATTAGCATTTAGATGTTTGTAAGAATCCATAATTTCCAAACATGTAAAGTTTGGAGTTCAGAGTAAAATTAAACAATTGAATTGTCTTTCATGTCAGATGCAACTGGAAATATTTGCTTCTACAACAAATAATGACTGAGACTCTGAAAATAGAAAGGAAAAGCCATTGAGAAGAACTATGGGTTGGACAGATGGCTCAGTGATTCAGAGCGCATCCCTTCTTACAGAGGACTAGAGTGCTTCCCAGCACCCACACTGAGTTGCCCACTGCCTGTACCTACAGCTCAAAAGGATCTTATACCCTCCCCCAACACACACACACACACACACACACACACACACACACACACACACACGACCTGGGTTTGTCCCAGCACCTACCCACATGGTGGCTCACAAGCACCTGTAATTTCAGTTTTCAGGAATCTAATGCCCTCTTCTGGTCTCCAGAAATACCACATAGATTGTGCATACATATGCTCATACAGGCTAACATACACACAAATAAGAATGAAATAAACCTTTACAAAACTGTTTTATATGTAGATCAATGAGAAACAGTGTAGAATTTTTAAAATGTTATTTTTGTTCTTTGTGCATTGATATTTTGCCTGTCAGTATGTTTGTGTGAGGATGTCAGATCCCCTGGAACTGGAGCCCCAGACAATTATGAGCTACAGTGTGTG